AATGGGGCCCCGCCCTCCAGCGGGGAAAGAGCAAGTTCCCTCTTCTCCAGATGGCCTGTCCCAGGGGCGCTTCGCGGTCCGTTGCCGGACTTAGCGGCGTTCTGGGCAGGGGGGCTGCCTGCTTCCGAGGTGCCCGACGCGCTCGCTTCGCCTGAGGCGTGTGCGGGGGCGGAGCAGCTCTCGTAGGCGGGCGCCTTCGGCGAGGAGCAGGTATGAATGGCACGGCGGGCGGAGCGGGCTACGGACCGCCGATAAGACATCACCCACCAACTGCTCTCTCACCGCCTTGAATTCCTGGGTGAATTCACAGACAGTGTCGCCGAACCTGGCTGGGGATATGGGGAAGTCAAGAAAGCGGACTTTGTCGACTTTGCGCATATCAGCCAGGGGTGGCGCTCCTGGATCACTAATGTGGACATCGTCCTCCCCAACGCACACGCAGCGGACTCAGTAGTCCGAAGAGCTAAGTCGGCGGCGGTGCGAAGCTCGTAAGCCTGGGTTGGACCCACCCTCGTGCAGCTCGGCCAGCGCCTGCGCTTGGTAGCGCTGGTAGGTGGCTATCGCATGCAAGGCGGAAGCAGCCTGGCCCGCAGCTATGTAAGCTCTAGCTCCGAGGGAGGTAGATAACTTACAGGCTTTGGATGGGAGACGAGGCGAACCCGCCAAGAAGAGGCGCCGCGCGGATTTACCGCCATCGCGCACTCAACCTGAGGAATCGCCACATACCCCCTGGCTGTTTCACCGTCAAGAGTGGTTAGGGTGGAGGAACACGCAGCACGAGCAGAAAAAAGTGCTTTACAAGACCGCGTGAGCCTACTGTGCACCTCCGGGAAGAAGGGAACGCCCCTCTAGTCGGTCCGGCCGCGGGGCTGGGGGATAAACCATCTCCAACCCACGGCCGAAGCAGCCCGGGAAAGCACGGCTAACATGTCCGTTTCAGGATCCGTAGTGACAGCGCTCACCAGCCCGAAGGGGGCGAGCGGGTCTGGATCATCGGACAATGAAAGCCCACCCTCCGATGCCGCCGTGGACATCTGGTCTCCGGTGTCATCGGGCGTAAGGGCTACCATCTGTTAGACGGATCGCTTCCCCCGCCCGAAGCTTGGATGGAGCGCTTAGAGGAGCGGGAGGTCCGCGGGCCCGTGGGCGACGGATTATCTCTCGCTGAAACCCTCAGATCTGCCCGAGTGCCCGCTGCAGAGCAGGGGGACAACTGGGGTGGTTCGCCCTTTTGCAAAGGCTAACCGCGATCTTGCGCAACAGTCATGGCATCGCAATGACGACATGAACTGCCCGCGAGCAGCGCATTAACATGCTGGACCCCCAGACATGTAACACAGTGCCCGCGCCCATCATCCGAGGACAGGAAACCACCGCATCCAGAAACGCACAGTCGGAGCGCCGTCCTGATAAGTGCTGACTGTGTTGCTCTTTCTGTGAAGTTTGCAACTTTATACGCACCGCTCTGGAGGACCGGACCCAAAGAACGCCAGGCAAGGGAGAAACCCAGCTCGACCGTCTGCCACTGCGTGTACACACTCTGGACCGGGAGAATGCTCTCGTTCGCTCAGAATCGCTGGTCACAGCAGGAGGAACCCTCATCGACTCGATCAGAAAGTCTCTGAAGCGAAAAGGATAGCGTCTGCTGGCGCCAGGTGAGCTTATATACTCAGTTGATTGCTTATGCCGCTCACCTGCGCAGGCTTGCGCTGCCAATTCATTCTTAATTGGCCCGTTCAATACTCTTTCAGACGAGTAGCTTCTGAACCGAACCTCCCAATGCGTGGATTTTACAATCAAATCCACTTATAGTGCTGAAGTTCCCCCCGAAGGGGAACTAAACTGTAGATGTTTTAAAAACTCATATATACATATATATTCTAGTCCCGATTAAGTCGTAACATCCGATTCCGATCGAGTCAGAAACCACGTGATCGGGACTGATCACGTGATTGGATCTGGATATTCCTAGTAAAAGAGGTTTGTGTGTGTGTGTGTGTGTGTGTGTGTGTGTGTGTGTGTGTGTGTGTGTGTGTGTGTAAGAGAGAAATGTCCTCAAAATGTGGAAAGAAACCTTGGTCAACAGACACGGATATATGCTTTAATTTTTTTATTAATTGTTTTCAATAAAGGGACAAAATTGGTTGGTGAACAGGATAATGTAGACAACTGCCAGAGAACACAGACAGTGGTTTCTCCAATAAAACTTAACATAGACCAGAAACAAAAACAACAAAAAAGCAAGTCTGTCAATGACCTTTGGTCATTTTCTTTTTTTTAAAAAAAGTAAAACAAAATGAAAACAAACAAAAATGATCCATTCTATGTCTCCGTTTTGAACAGAGTATTTAAGCAATAATAAATAGTGACTCCCATTGAAAAAGATAAAGTTCAAGTTCAAGTTACAACAAACAGCTCTCATAACAGGAATAGAAAAGGCTGATAACAAAATATTCCGCATTGCCATTTACAAAAGAGTATGAACTTAAGTGGGCTGCTCCTTTAGTTCCATTTCATTTTTAAATATGCTTTGCATATGAAAGTCGTCCCAATCTAGATATAAAGCACCATTTAATATTTGGCAATGAAAAAAACAAAACAAAGAAAACACCTGCAAAACAGTGATTATTTGAACTCATTTATTTGAACCTTTTTTTTGTTGTTTGTTTGTTATTTACTGGTATTTTACTGCATATGAAGTTAGCTTTTTTTTCAAGATGCTGGAATGTATTCAGGTGAGACAGGTGAAAAGACAGAAGCACACTACAGAACAACCCAACATTAGCTTGCTGTACTGCATACAGAATGGCAGCAGAGGAGATTTTAAAAAAGAAGAACAGAAAAAAGATATGTACAACCACCTGTTTTAGCTAGTGTGGACATTCTCAAAAGACTCCTCGGGGAAACCATTGAATGGCCTCCTTTGTACAATGCCACATACTTCAATTTTTTAATTGGATTTTTTCTGTTTTCTTTTTTTAAACATACAAATAATTCGCACTATATTATCCTGCCAAATTAAAAAAATATACCGTGGCAGCTTGTTGTTTTTTTTCCACTACCAAAAAAGGTACAATAATACCTTTTGAGAACAAGCAACAGTTAAAAATACAAGCCTCAATATAAATACTGTAGTACCTACACTAGGTGAACATTTAATTCAAATACCATTCTAGAAATACAGAAGAAAGTAGACCATAAATGTGTTTTAGCATAGGAACTGACATGATGTGCATTTTCCTATATTTAAGTTTCTCTATTATATATTTTATATATAATTTTAAACCTTTCCCCAATGCAAGTTTGACCTGAAGAGCTGTGAAGAGCCAAGATGAAAAAAAGAAGAAAGAAAAAGCAGGAAGGAAAGAAAAGAGAGAAGAAAAAAAAAATCACAGATTTTTCCCATTTTATATATATCGTAATCAAGTCTTGAACACCACCAAGACAAAAGAGAAACAACCAACTTAAATACAGTTTCCCCTAAGATAATGAAATGTTACTTTTTAAAAAAGTCTTTTTTATTTTCATACTTAAAAAAAGATTTGTACAAAAAAAAGTTCTTGCAGTGAAAGCAGCAAGTTTCAATTGTCCGTACTTTGTCAAGCACTGTGTGCTTTGACGCAATAATATTATATCAGACTTGGGCTTTATCTTTTATGAGGTGAGAGGAGGAGTTGGCTTTTTTACATTAAATAATGACACCATGTTTGATTCTTTAGGAAGTTTTCCCTCTCGTAAATACCTGTAAACAGGGAAACTTTAACAGTGCACTTCTTTGTCCAACAAGCAAGCAAACGTAATTTATACTCTACTACTAGACCTCCAATTAGCATTACTTAAAAAAATAACAAAGGGCAGAGTGGCAGGTGCCGTCTAAACACCAAAAACATCACTGATGTCTTGCAACAATGAAAAAACAAAAATAGAGTCTCCTTGAATGTCAGCTTGTACCACACTATGTGTGGAACTCATATAAAACAAAGGAAAAAAAGTGACGTGTATGGTTTTCCCTCTCTCGCTCGCTCACTCTTTCAGGTTCATTTAATCTTTTAGGGAGCTCAGACATAGGCAATAATAAAGAAATAAGATTTTGACTTAGACCTGTAGGCAATTCATAGTTAATCATCACTGACAGCTGCAAATATTTCAATGCTTTCTTAATAACCAATTCTCAAGTGTACATTACATTAGTTTGCTCCAAATGCCCTTAGGTGTTCCTTCGCAACGGGTGTTCACACTAACAATGGTCATCAAAGAAATGTCAAAATGTGCTACTGAAGATGAACAAACACAGAAAATCATTTCATCCAAAATGATTGTGGATGGAAAACTAGTACCGCTAATTACAGTACCTTTAGATAGTAGTAAACAAGGCGGAATCTCACACCGTATACTGCATGTGCTATGCCCAATGAAAGGATACGTTTTGCATTGGTACCTAATGATGATTAACTACAAATTTCCTTTGCTTTTTGATTATTACTACTTCTCTCCAAAGTCACAGTTGACTGTAGCAGTCAGGTACTTGATGCAAGAACCTTTTGAGGATCCAAATCGATCCTTGTGTAATGTCTAGCTGAGACTCCAGAATTACAGCAAATGAGATTAACCAATGCAATTTTACGATATCCAAGGCACTCTTTTTATTTTGTTTGTTTTACCAAATGATAGTACAAATTCAAATCTCAATGCTGTTTTCATTCAGAAATTCAAAGGCTGTCATTACTTTTATTCTGTAATAGGGGCCAATTATTATTTTAACCCTATGTGGACAGAACATCTTTTTGAAAGATTAGTTTAAGTGCGATATCCAGCCCGTCCAAAGAGGGTTAAGCGATAGCCTGCAGTCCTCCATGTTACAACACAAAACTGTACATGATATGTTTTACAGAATGTATGCAGCATGGTTTTTCTTTTCTTTTCTTAGATCTCAAAAAAAAAAGAAAAGCAAAGGAAAAACATTTGTAAAATAATGAACGATAAAACAGCAACACATTTACTAAACAACTAACCAACCAGGGACAATTTATTTTTAAAATTAGCCAAAATATATCATGCATGCTGTCAAATCTTCCAAAATGTGAAAGAAAAAAAAGAAAATGTACACGACATGTAAATTATTGCACAAGAGAAAGGCTCCAAGTTTGCGTCAATGCAATAGTATTGCCCCGATACAGATCATGCATTCAACGGTAAATGAAAAAGGTGTGCTGGTGGTGCCAAGCACGTTGTCTTAGCCGCCACTGGACTAGCGAAACAGGGAAATCTACAAGGATGAGGGTGGGAGTGGGCCAAGGTGTTATTCGCTGTTAATAGGCAAGTGAGCCACCACACTCCACCGCTACTCAGTTTTAATTTCGGTGCTCAATGGGCGGTCACTGTGCCATTTTTTCATGTGTTTCTCAAGGGTGCTGTACACACTAAAAGGCATCTGACAGATTTCACATTTGTAAACGTCCTTGCCCACTTGCCCGTGCGTTTTCATGTGCCGTGTTAGCTTGCTGCTCTGGGCGCAGGCGTAATTGCAGAGCTCACACTTATAAGGCCTTTCGCCCGTGTGGCTGCGCCGGTGCACTGTCAGATTGCTGCAGTTTTTGAATACTTTGCCACAGAACTCGCAGGTGTCAGTACGTCGCCCATCTTTTGAGCTGGGCCGACCAGGACCCCCGAGATGTGGCGTGCTGCCGCCACTGCCAGTCCCGCTGCGGCCCGAGACCCCGCCGTCTAGGTCCCCTGGTGGCGTAGAGAAGCGCAGGCTTCCATTCTCTGAGGAGTGCTCTGAAGATGAGGCGAAAGGCGATTGTCTGGAATCCCCAAAATTCAGAAAGGGGTCCTTGAGCTGCCTAGAAGCAGCATAACCAGCCAACCACTGGGAATAAACATTCTCAGTGTTGGGGATTGTAGGGGTGGAGAGGTCAAAGTCCTTCTCCAGCTTGATTCGTTTGGAGAAAGGGCTAAGTGAACTGGGACTACCAAGCAGGAGCTTCTTGGACAAGCCTACAGAGGCAGATTCGCTTGGAGAAGAGCCGCGGCCGTTGATAGCTGAACCGCAACCCTCGTCCACTCTGTCTGATTCTAGAGCCGAATCCTCATCACACATGTCCCTATGTGCATCATTGTCGGAGTTTAGAGCTCCCCGCTTGTGTTGGTGAAATGCCTCACTGTAGTGCTGCATGCTGGCAGCCAGGCCCATGCCCTGCATAACCTCAGGCAGTGAGCGCGGGATCCCATCCTCACCCAGACGCCCACCATTGTTCTCGTGGTGTCGTGCAGCTTGAAGGTTGAGACTGAAGTGGTAGTTGTTTCTCCCTCCATCTCTGTCCCTCTCCCTTTCCCTCTCCCTCTCTCTCTCCCTTTCCCTTTCCAGTTCCTCCTCTTCTCCTTCCTCTTCTTCCTCTTCCTCTTCTTCTTCCTCCTCCTCCTCTTCTTCCTCTTCCTCCTCCTCCTCTCCATTTTCTGGAATCATGCGGTCATTTTCACTCTTGAATTTGGCTACCACAGACTTGAGGGCATTACTGGCACTACCCACCAAGTCGCTGGTTCCTGGTTCAGGGGAGCTAGCTGTGGACAAGCCATCATCGGATTTGACCGTTGTGGGCGATGACTTGTTCATGTGCGTCTTCATGTGCCTTTTCAACTTGCTGGCCTGTGTACAGGCATGGTCGCACAGATGGCACTTGTATGGTTTCTCACCCGTGTGACTGCGTCGATGCACTATTAAATTACTCTGGAACTTGAAGGTCTTCCCACAGAATTCACAAGACTTGGTCTTCATGGGCGTGTTGGACTGTTGGTTGAGAGGGGTCGGGGTAGACTGGGAGCCAGAGGGAGATTGCATGGAAGGTAGGGGAGGGGTGGAGAGAAAGGGCGGCTTGGTTCCTGACTGGAATGGTTGTAGTAGCCGTTGCATAGGGCTGGGCCGATTAGGTGAAAGAGGAGGAGTTGACCCTGAGGTGTTACCAGCAAGCTCTCTCAACCTACGAGAGAAGTCCATAGCTGGGGGATCCATGGGTATGGGGTTGAGGCGTAGCACCCTGTCGAAGGCACTCGGGTGGTGGGTGGCCAAAGCCAGCTCCTCCGGGCTCAGGTGCTCCATGCGATGAGGGTCCAAGTGGTGACGAGGTGGAGGGCTAAAAAGAGGCGGCGTAGGAGGAAACCGCCCTTCTCGGAGAGGGGGCCCATCTCGTCCAGAGTTCGGTATTCGTAGAAGGTTGAACGGGCTTCCCTCCGGGAGATGGATGCCATGCAAAGGAGGCTGAGAGGAGCAATCCGCGCCCATTCCCGAAGGAGCTCCCACTCGGGGTGTGAGCGGACTTCCACGTTCACTCTCAAGGTAGATTCGGAAGCCATGAGTGTTCTGGGCATGTTGCAGGAGAAACCAAGCACTGCTGAACGGCTGCTTACAGGTTGTGCAAGTGTAGCTGCTGGGCTCATCTTTACCTGCAAAACACATAAATAAAGTAAACGTTAACTCTCTAACAGTGCAAAAGACAGGAAATACAACTCATTTAGAGGAAAACCATTAAGATAACAGATCTGCACTGTGATTGTTTACACACCTTTCATTTTTCAGCTGTTCCCTCAATGCTACACATCTGAGCTTTAATCATTTATGAACTTCCCTTATCACCCGCTTAGATCCCAGACCTGTGCTGCCCCCTATTCCAACAGTCTCTCATCGGCTTTAGCCCCTCAGCAGGCTAAAGTAAGTATCACACAGCAGTAAACACTGTTCTTATTATAAACATGCTCCCAAACAGGACTGTAGGCCAGAACCCAGCGGAGCAAAGCTTTTTACAACATAAGACCAGACAATGCACTAGTATTCCAGCAGAGAAAGGCTGTGTTGGGGTTTAGCTCAGGTCTTTGCATGAGGTGATACACTCCTGCTTTGGGTCTTGTAACAGTTGTCAGCAGGACTGTAAAAGCAAACAATACTGCTTGCTCAAGCTGAACACTTTCATCCATGTACCAAAACAGATGAGGCAGGAAGCATACCACAAAAACAAAATTTGGAAGGACTACAATAATAGATCCTGTAAAGGGGCAGCAGAGGAAGCACATATTGTTAGGATGTGTTAAGGGTTACATATGGCAAACTTCAGGTATCTTAAGGTACTAGTATGCTTGCAATAACAATGAAAAATTATAAACTTTGTTTAAAATTAGAATTTCATTTCATAATTTGTCTTTTCTTCAAATGCAAGCTCCTGAAAATGAAGTAAAAATGGAAATAAAGAAAAAGTTACAGTAACAAAAAAAAAGAGACGCACATTCTCCCATACAACTGAAATGGAAATGTATGTGGACAACTGTCATAGCAAAAGAACATTTAAAACAATTCACTTTCAGTGGCGCTTTGACAATGACCTGTGATTTTCCTCCCATTGCATTTGTAATCTCATTTAATGTATCTGACTCCTCCACTGCCTTATTTAGCAGATTAAATATAAAGGAGGCTAGCCTTTCAACATTAAATACGCTGACACCTAATGCTAAGTTATCTATTTATTAAATATCTGTATGCCACTGCACGCTGGAGGAACTGATACAGTGTGTTCTAAATGTAGAGAAAAGACAACTAGTGGACACATGCACATCATGATTTTGCCAAGTATGACGTGATTCTGTATCTATGTTGATCCTGGAACATATTTTTTGTTCGAAAATGTAATCCATAACTATTCCCTACCCCTAAACCATAACATGTAAATTACTCCCAAAATCAAAATCCTAAACTTAACATAAATGTAAGCATATCTCTTAATTTTGATTGGCTTATTGGAATGTTGGTCCAGGATCAGCAAAATGTTAATCTAGGAACATGTCCTACTTGGTGAAATCAGGTTGGTGTGGACAAATACACACAGACACATACATTACCTTTCTTTTTTTACATTTTAAATTGCATTTATTACTACTATACATGTATAAAATTGTCTTAATTACGCCAAAACATAGTGGATGGATAAAAGGAATACCGCTCTCATGAATATGCTCAAGTATAAATGTTTTATCTAGTCCAGATGGAAGGCTGTCAAAAGCTACAGAGCCATTTTTGATAATTACACTGAATACATTCCTAAATAAAAACAAAATGTTATAAAGTGCTGCAAATGGCATTTGCACCATCAACAGGTAAACAAGCAGCAGGTTCAGGGCGTCTATAGTTAAAAAACACACGATTAACTGACAAATGGCAATGAAATGGATATTTTCATGAGGTAATGAGTGACAGTTTGAACTTTGAAAATTACCAACGCTAAAAGCGATGTTGCATGCAAAAGGTACAGATATCTACCTACGCTTCCAAAAAATGCAAGGTCAAGCGGTCAGGAAAAGAGCCATCATCCACACAGGAGAACCACAACAACAAACAGCGAAAATGGACAGGGGAGATGGATTTAACTCCCCCCATAAGCCAGAGGTCTCTAAACTGCTATCATGTACTGTTTACAACCATCCCAAGAGAAAGAGGGGGAGAGGGGAAAACGCAAAAAAAATGGAGAGATGGCGGGAAGAAAGGCTGAAAGAGGTGCTGAACGGAGCCGAACAGGCAGCGTGCACTCTTTCATCTCGTTTGTTTTCCTCAGAGGGGCTTTCTCTGAAGTCTTCAATAGCCAGCAAAGCATGTAACGAGGCAAGGCCTTTCTGCTGCTCAGAGGAGGAAAGGCAGGCCAGAGCCACTGTGGGTTTTCTCAGATAATCCTGTTAATGCACACAAATGGGGGGTGGTTCTGGAAGGCACCGTGGCGGGCAGACAGCCACCTCCGGACATCACTGCACTCTTTTGTCCGGTCATCATTTAATGTCTTGCTTGGTATTTCATTAACATGGTAAACAACAAAAAACACACCATGCTCATCAGGGTGTGAGATAAACACATGCTCATGTTTAAGAGCAACCATTATACAAGCAGTGCTCAAAATAATATAAAACATGGCAATGTATGTACAGTGCTCAGCATATACGAGTACACCCCTTCAGAATCTCTCATTTAAGTTAATATTTATTAATAGGAAGCTTTACAATATTATATTTGTGCACATACATTAGAATAGTCAGTACTGAAGCCAGATCTGGAGCTAATCTAACAAAATCACTTATGATAACGGTCCAAAATTAGTACACCCAAATTGATGTTAGAGAAAAATATTTTTAAAAAGATCAAAATTTAAGAAAAACAAAAACTATATAAAAATTTAGTTGAAATTTTGGAGTTTGTATTTTTCCCCCAATATTTTACATGAATTTAATTGTATTATCTTTCTGTTTTTAAAGATGTTTGGTGACTAAAATATTTTTTTGATAAATATATCCGTTTAATAAACCTGTTTTGTTAAAACTCACCAAAATATATGCGCACTGTATACTAGTAGTTCACAAACTTTGTTCATTTGAATCCTTGTATGGCTCTGTTCCACTTAAGTAAAAACATATATCAAATATCACACAAACAAATGCATAGTGTTTGGAGAAATCAATCATTAAATGTAGCACAAATCACACATTTAAATAAATAAGACAGACTGTATCTGCAATCTGACAAACGTTTAAAAATATATCAAGGTCCTAAAGCAAGAAAGCAACGGTGGCGCTGTCACACGCCAGCTTTCAGCTGAGAGAGATGGGCAGTAAAGGAGGTAAGGCTTGGTGTGAACAGAGAGAAAAATAACAGCACACTGCTGCTCTCTGGCCCTGCCACCCACAACACCTCCTGACAATCTCACTCATGACCAACAGCTGAAAGCGCTGCACCAAATCAAGACTGCACACTACTTTATATCAGGGGGGTTGATGCAAAGGCCAGCTAAATTATGGATCATTACAATCTGCAGAAATTACATTTAATTGCTGCCACCTGCAGAGGGTTTAACCTAGTATACATTTTTGTATTATCATGCAAAGGGTATTTTTTCACTCCTGTCACACAGCTACAACTCTAATGGCTATCTGTTGTTGTGGAGGTTGCGAGAGAGTTTTAATTTGCCTCGAACACAACACCTAATTTCGCTTTCAAAACGGAGGCCTTCGATTCTTTAAATAGATTTTGAGGGTCCATTGGCTCCTCACCAGCCACAGGGATCTTCTGAAGGACAGGTTAGCGCATCTCCATGTTTAACAAGGGCCCGCTTCATTTCATTACACATGGCAACACTCGGCGGAATATGTAATCATCTTTTTCACATGACATTTTGAATATCCAACTAGACAAATAATTGCGGCAATAATTGATAGCTTCGCGCAGGCGGCGGTATTATTGACTGGCGTGCCTTGCGCAGGCAACCGGCGAGTGCCATGCGGACATCGTGCTTGGCACGCTCACAGCCAGGTTCTTCTTCTGACAAAACTGTCACAATCTGTTCGGATGACGGGAGTCGGCGAGCCACCGACAGGTGCTCCAATAATCTGCTATTAGACTCTGAAGATTTTACTGGGTGGAATTAAAAGCAGCAGCCTGCCAAAGAAATTAGCCTCCCCCTCCTTTCGGTCTAATTTTAATTTTCTCAAGAGACTTGAAAGAGTATTCTTTGTGTCATTGACTGTCTTTTTGAGAGAAGAACCAGAGAGCTCAGCATTGGAGACGTTGGATGAGAGGTAAAAGGGACTCGTGGGTTCACAGCTGTTTAATGTAGACGACTACTCTCACCGCAATGTGATGCTAATCTGTACCTTGACACTCAGAAAAAAAGTCAGACTTGTTCTAATTTTCACCGATTCCTCAGTTAATTAGAAAGCTCTCCAATTTGCAGCAAAAGCGGGTCAGTCCGGACAAGCTGGCAAGCCGCTACGTTTGAGGCAGAGAATGCCGGTGACAGTTGTTGGACTGGTCTGCGGGAGCTGGCAGCGGCACGGCTACTTACAGACGGATGCGAGCACTCAGTGCATTGCTGGCAGTTTTTACACAGGGAAATGTCAGAGCAATGTTACAGCACAGAGCCACGGGAAAACAAGAACACCCCCCCCCCTCCTTCCCCAAACTGCCAACCACATCCTCACAGGACCGACTAATCCAGCTAAATCGGCACACATACACACACACACACACACGCGCGCACGCATTAAACTGCAGTTAGATAAAGCCACACTAAATGATCTTGACAAAAAAGTAAGGCTGTATTACAGAGCGGTGATGGCTTGGCAGAGAGTGACTGGTGCCCATGGTGAAACCGGAGACACGGAGGAAGGAAATATGTTGCGAGTTCCCCATTCCCCCCTTGCTGAGTCTTGCATCTCGCGCAGGAAAAGTGTAGCACACCAAACAGATAACTTTACAGTGCAAAAATAACCAAAAAGTGTGACTTGTGCAAATTTCAGACAGCTCATCTGGGTCAAAATCCGGCTTGCGGACAGGTCAGCTGGATTTTATTGCACTCGCACACACGTAACCTGTTTGCTGACACTCGAAAGGCATTGTGTTAGTTACACAAGTGCATTTA